CCCGCCGTGTCTCTTGTAGTGTCCCACCGGGGCTCTTGTAGGGTCCCACCGGGGCTCTTGTAGGGTCCCACCGGGGCTCTTGTAGGGTCCCACCAGGGCTCTTGTAGGGTCCCACCAGGGCTCTTGTAGGGTCCCACCAGGGCTCTTGTAGGGTACGACCAGGGCTCTTGTAGGGTCCGACCAGGGCTCTTGTAGGGTCCCACCAGGGCTATGTAGGCTGCCTCTCACCAAGACTCTCACCTAACCCTAAGGCCGCGAGGCACTTGGGAGCGCGAGGCCTTAGGCGACCTCCCTATTTAAGAGCCGCCTCTGACAGCCAGCGAAATCTAACAAAGACCAACTTCTCCCACGAAGACCCCTTTTCCATTAGTGTGAATTTCCTTTCAATTGTGGCACCCGGGGCACAGTAGGGCTACCCTGCAGAGCCCGCCGTAGAGAGTCTATGGTGGGCTCTGCAGGGTCACTCTCAGGTGGGCTACGGGGCCCTGTGATTTCTAGTTACGCCCCTGCTTCCAGGTCATTGGGTTTTCCGTGTTTCCGGAATGCTCCGTCCATCCGCGGACGGACAACAAACGCGTAAATGGCGCGGCGCTCCTCCCCCCAAATGTAAACAAGGCGTTTTTCAGGATTAGGAGGTCTCAAGCTGAGCCTCCGGATAACCGTTTCCATCTCCAGAAAGAAAACAGTTCCCTTCTCCTACCTGACATTGTGATTAATGGGCCGTGCTAACCACAAGCAGATGTGCAGCGCGAGGGCGACGCGTCCCGTCTGCCTCCGTCTGGGGCCAATGCGCGGCGCGGAGGAGCGCAGGAGACCAGCAGCTGGGATTTCGCAAGGCTGGGGACGTGTAAACACTTCTGCGTCCCGGCTCTCCATTTGTTACGTAACACGAGCCAGCGCGGTTTTTCCAGGCAAATCCCCCGCAGATGCTGATCATCAGACTGAAGGTTACCGAGTCCGGAACAAACATCTGGAGGCCGGGACGATGAGCCAACATTCCAGCCGATGCGTTACGCTTAAGGCGGACCATGCACGTTACAATCTTCAGAACTGATCTCATCAACTGTATGGTGGAAGATCCGGATTAGGTACATGGAGATCCGACTGCCTAAGTAGGTCCTCACTCATCTAAAGGAGGTTCTAATGTGTATGGGAAGAATGCTCCTTACATTGGGGGTCAGTGGGAAGAATGTCCCTTACATTGGGGGTCAGTGGGAAGAATGTCCCTTACATTGGGGGTCA